CACGTCATTATAGAACTTATATTTTTTTTTTTCCAAGAGAGACCTGACCAAGGTATCACTCATATAAACTTGCATTTTAAAAGAAGACATATACGGCATGATGAAAATATATCCACAGCAAAAATTAACACAGAGACCACTAAAGAGAAAAAACATCCACTAGCTCCCTTCACCAAATTCTGTGAGCCCTTTAAACTCCTCACTGGATGTGCAGACCTGTGAAACACTAAACAAACGAGAAAAACCTTTAGCAGCAACAACTTGGAGTGATACTTTCTTTATAACTTTATCAGCTTTGCACATCGTTTGGGAGAGATTTTGGTGCACTCTTCTTTACAGCATAACTTTGGTTCACTGATGTTTGGGGTTATTTGTTTATGAGCAGCTCTCTGAAGGTTTCAACCACAGTATTTCAATCAATGTAAGATCTTTGGCCAGGCAATTGAAACACCTTTAATCTTTTCTTTTTAAGCCCTTTTGTTGTAGATTTGCTGTAGATTGTGTTGTTGCGTACAATAAATAAAACATACATGGTCAACTTAATGACAGCAATGTACCCAGGCAGGTGCTGTGGTTGCAAAAAAAGCCCAAATCATCATCCCTCCACCGCCATGCTTGATAGTTGATATGAGGTGTTTGTATCGATATGCTGTGATTGGTTTACAGCAAACGTGTACGCATTATGATCAAACATCACTTTGGTCTCATCTTCTTAAACAACGTAGTTGAAGTCTTGTGGTTTGTTCAGATGCATCTTTGCAAGTCTAACCCATGATGTCATCTTCTTTTCAGAGAGAAGAGCCTTTCCCCTGGGAACCTTTTTTAAAAAGCCATACTCGTCTTTTTGTCTTTTTACTGTCATGAACTGTAACATTGAACATTTTTATGCTAACTCAGGCCTGTATAGCCTGTGAATCTTATCCTAATCTAGTGCTCAGAACATTAAATTCTGTATCGTTCATGGACAATCGACAAGATTTCTGTTGGAAGAATCTTTGACATTTTGACATTTGACAGTCCAAACCTTTGTTCTTCTTCAACAGAGCGTCTTGTGAACTTTGCATAGATACAACACCCACTTCCCCTTGAGATTCATTTCACAGATAAATGGTACGATGGGGCCTAGATGTCAGGACATCTCCTGTACCAGAGATGTCCTGACATTTTCCTTTAGAATTTACTGGTATAATTTGGAGTTAATTCGTCTATTACTGATAACACAGGAACATTACTTCCAAACCAATTTTTCTGCTGCATTTAGAGCTCCCACTTGTTCCTGTAATCTAATCATCAATTGATTCTAGAGGCTGATGAACCTCAAAAGAACAGGCTGACCGCTTTCCTAACAGTACGTGTCAGGGTGACATCAGGGTGATGTAGCCCCAAAATTTAGCTCGAAAACCTGATGCAGCAAATAGAAGCTGATGGCTGAGACCAGTAACAACCAGCTGGCTAAAAGTGAATGTGACAGACGACAGACGAGACAGGGGACCCCTGAAAGTTAGAGTTATCCATGGTTGGTTTGGGCATTTGTTGTTAGTATCCAAGGTTTCATATCCCCAACCGAGAGCTATTTAAATGCAGGCATAATGACGGTGAGCGGCTGTTTGGACAGAAGCTAAGCTCTGTGTCTCTTTCTCTCTAGGGACTCCTCTTCCTTCCGCTGCTAATGAAGCCATTTGCACACCTACACAGACACACACCTGTATGAGTGCGAGTGCATGCTGAGGTCACACCGGTAGCCCCGCACATCCATCCACACACACACACACACACACACATCAGGTGTAAGTGGATCAGACCTGCCAGATGGCTGTGGAACCATTCCTCTGCCTGATGTGAAAGACACTCGCTTTTTTAAATGGCCATCTCCTGCTTTTAACTCTACCCCGTGTTAATCAAAGGAAAATCATGCACCTACAAGGCACGGTGGGGAGTGGCACCAAATGGGGCAAGAAATGGCTGGAAAATCACAGTGGGAACTGAGTTTGGGTGTCAGACAGGCTGCCACTTCAAAGGGAGAGATAAAAGTTTTGTAATCTGCACCCCTATGCTCTTCAACTTTGTCCCCTCCCTTCATTTGGTGATACATTGGTCAGCCTCAGCTCTCCTATCATCATCACCGTCGCCTTCATCTGATCCCCAGTCTCAGCATGAGCAAGTATCGGAGATTCTATGGCGTAACTTTGAAGACGGCTTTGAAAACTAATGTAATCAAATGCAATTTTTTTTACCAGACACAAATGATATCTTTGTGCTTTTCTGCTTTGTTTACATGAAAAGAAACAATTTAGAAGTAGACAGGAGCTGATGTTCAGAGATACAGCCGACTGCCAGTACGTGGGAGGAAAGTCAATGAATAATGAAACGACCTCCTAAGTCTCAGTAACATATAATAAAGCTATTTATCATGTCTCGTACCCGCCGGCTGGTCACGAAGGCAGCATGTCATTAAAAATGAGCAGATGTCCCTACCTCAGGAGGAGCTTACGTTTGCAAGGCAGAGATAATCCAGCTAGGCATCCTGTGGAATTCTGTTTTTATGTGTAAGAGCACATGCTTACACATACATCTGAGTGCTAGACCAACCCAAATGTAACACAGGGTGCCAAATATAAGGCCTGGGGAGGCAGAATTAGGACAACCAAAGAGTCCAGTCCGGCCCACTTGATGCTTTGAAAAATGTGAAAGAAGGCATCAATTTTTGGACCTTTAACTGTGTTTTACAACCTTTCTTAATGTTTTAGACATTGCCCACAGTCAATCACACCAATTTTACTAATTGATAAATAAGCAATTAAACAGAAATCTTTGCATTGTTGCACTTACTGTAGAAACATCTAGAAATATACATAGAAATAAAAAAAGAAATGAAAAAAGAAAAAAAGAAACAACCTTTCCTGCAAAAAAACGAGGACATTTTTTATGAATTACCAAAAACTTTCTATTTTTGGGAGTCTGGGCAACGAGCTAACAGAATGATTTCTTTAATTTTACACATTTATTTCTTACAATTTAAGCCAGATATTAATTATGCTGACAGACTTCTTCCAGCAGCATTACTTTATCATGTAGAAAAAACTGAGACCTACTGCTGAAACTATACGTCTTTTTCTTTTATCCAGACAGCTCTCATTAAATGTGTAGTTAAAATTTGTTACACTAACATAAAGGGGAGTTTCACTGGTCTGGCCCACTTGAGCTCAAAGTGGGCTATATGTGACCCACATTGTTAATAACTTAGCTCTAACATCTCCATTTCTCCAAGCTCCTTGCAGATGTTTGGCCGTCACTCTTGGAGTAAAAGTCCCTCTGACTGCTCTGACTCCTGGTGAGGAGCTTCCCTCCACCTGAGGGTTAGGGTAATTTGACAGCAAGCCTAGCCACTGTATCATCCATATATCCATCCCTCCATTCTCTTCCACTTATCCTTGTCATTGCCTCACTTTGCGTAGCATAAATGAAACAACATTCTTTCAGAACCTGAATAGAAATGAGGTGCAACTGACAAGCAGGCGAGTTTGATCTTACCCTGATGTTATCGAAGGATGCTTTGTTGGTGACATCGTACAGAAGCAGCAGAGCTGAGGAGAGAAAATAAAAACGTCACATTTGAAATTGGATCGAACTTCATGTCACAAAATTACAAGTGATCAGATTATTTAGCGTGTTTGGTGGCAACAAACAGTTCACGCCATCCAGAAAGTATTTTCTTACACCTATTTCCCACCACTGTGGCGCCAATTCATTGACACTTTCATGATCTAACCCACACTTTGAGAACTCAGCATGATGCAGGCCTTGTTTTTCATGGACATAAATGCAGTTTCTAGATTAAGTGCTGCCACAGTGCGGGTGAAAAAGAGGTGATCGGGACAGTTTACTGGCAGTGGTGCCAATTTTTGTCTGCTTTCACAAAGTTATTGATTCACCACAATAATCAATACAGACACTGTAATCACCATTAGTGCTGCTTGGAGTGATCACTGAGCATGTTCATATTAACTGTGGCTCACAGTGATGAGGTATTTCATGATCAACAAGAGCACTCAGTGTTAGGGTGCCTGGGTTGTCAGCCCCGTGTTGTGTTTTTGGTTCTTTGATTTTGTTTATTTCATTATATTCTAGCTTTGTCTTATGGGTTATAGGATTATTCTTAGTTTAGGTTCTCTGTGTGGGTTTTGTTAGAGTTTTAGTGTTCTGGTTTTCTGTCTGTGATCCATAGTTGCTGTCTCCCCTGTCTGCTGTATCCCTGTGTCAAGTCTGCGTCTCTGTGTTATGTTTCCTGTTTTACTTTGAAAGTATGTGTCTCATGTTATTGTATCAGGTTTTGCTTCCTTTGTCTCTTTAGCACTGATTTGTCCCAGCTGTGTTTCCCTCCTGTTTCCCATTCCCCGATTGCTCCCTCTGTGTATTTAAGTTTCTCTGTGTCACTGTCGCGATCTACCCTCATTCATGCTGTGTGTTCTGTCTGCCTGACTGCCCAAGTTTATTCTTTGTATTTCGGAAGGTTGTTATTTTGAGTTTAGCATTAAAGCTGTTTTTGGAGTTCACGTTTTATCTGTACTTTGGATCTTCCATTTTACCATTTCTGCCTGCACACAGCCTAAACATGACACTCAGAACTCCCTCTGAAGGGCAAGGGTTACACTACAATTCAGAGGTTTTTATGAAGTTTTTATAAAACATGCTGACTTATACTTTTTTATAGATCATTTATGCTGATGTCAGAAAATTGTGTATTTTATCATCGTTGCCTATGTGATTGGAGCAGAATCGGCTTCTATGAGACATTAAATCTTGAAAACGTATATAGTCATGCATCTACTTGATGGCAATGATGACGAGGTTTCACCGACACGCAGCTGTTTTTTTGTTTTTCTTAATATATCCTCTTTTAAATGTCAAGGCAGACTACAGATTACAGATGGCTGTACAGAAAATGAGCATTGCTTTAGCCATGCATGCTTTCCAGAACTTTGCAAAGTCTAATTAGATTTTACTCACAAAAGGTCAACGTAGATGCATGTGGGAAATTTTGCACCATAATTACATAGGAGAATACACCATAAATATTAGACATCTTATATCTCCCAACAAATTGAACCTAACTGTATTACAAGACACGTGAACTTGTGGTGTTCAGTGAAGTATTTTTCCATCTAACTAAAAAGTGATTTTTCTGGTATTTTGATGCTCCATAAAACTCTCTGGATTTCGCTGGATGAAAAACGTAAAATAAAATGCCCCCCACTGTTACGTGAGCAAAGTGCTGATCTCTTTCATTTACCACGGTATTAGCATTATATCTGACAACATAATTGCGCACGTGAATTCTAATTACCTCCAACTGCATTGTTCGGCTGTGGAGCATAATATCACCTCAGGTGTTACTGGAGGGTGTGCATTATAAAGCTCGAGACAGAAAGAAAAACTCATTACACCTGCGAGGGCAATTCTAACTCATTTCCACAGCTTGAACAACCTTCTCTTTTAAGAATTAGTGTAAGCTATTTACCTCCCCAGCACCTCCTCTCCTCCTACTGCATGTAATCCCTCCAGCCATCTTCTCCACTACTTATCTCACTCCATCCTCATTCTGCCACTTTATTCCATGCACACCCTAAAGCATGTCTCCTGTTTACTCTCCTTACTCATCCCCCGATCCCGGCACTCCAGAGTCAAGGCTGCATTTTTGCCTATTTTGGATTAAATCCTTTGTTTGTTCATTTCAGCCAGACAAGTGCGTGAAGGGTGTTTAATGAGTTGTAATCACCGTCAGCTCCAGCCAAACTGAAAAAGCACAGTGAGGGGGAGAGGGAAGCATGAAGAAAAAGGATAGGAAGGACAGAGCGAGAGAGCGAGAGATGATCTGCCACCACAAGTTAATTTCCTCTCCCGTTGCTCCTGTTGTTTATAAGATACTAGAAGAAGACGAGAGTAAACCACAAGGAGTTGCTTTCCTTCACCCCCCCTAATCCAATTACATCTTGCCAAAAGCAAGACAGATGAAGTTGGAGAACTTCCTCACAGAAGTGAGAAAGTTCAGAAGCAGAGTTTAGTTATCACAGGTTGCAAAATAATAGGCAGAAGAATGAACTCTGCAAAAAAAAGAAGAGAAATACTGCTGGTTTTAGGTGTTGGTGTATGATTATGGCATATTAATGTGTGCAAAACGTTTGGAAGTGTGCCTCAGTCTCTATGTGGGTACTCAGATTTATCTGCAATCACAGAGTGAATCACAGATTCAAATGCTCAAGTGTACTGAGGTTTGCACAGGGTCAAAAACGCAAGTACAATTTGCACATGTGTGACAGAATATGCAAATATAATCAGTCAGAAAAATGATTGTGAATAGCCTCAGTGCCCTCAGGCAGCCCTGCATAAGCAGTGGATTGCACCAGCGGTCCCCAACCTTTTTTGCGCCACGGACCGGTTTATGCCCGACAATATTTTCACGGACCGGCCTTTAAGGCGTCGCGGATAAATACAACAAAATAAAACTAGTACCGCTACTGAAAAATAGAAGAGTTATTCATAACACACGTGAAAAGACCCAGGAAAACCGAGTAAATAATAAAAACGATAACAAAATAACGCTGAAAACTGATAAAAACCCTGAAAACCACACATTTCACACCTGAGCCTCAACTCTCGCGGCCCGGTACCAAACGACTCACGGACCGGTACCGGTACCGATTACACTATTCACTAAATAGCTGCAAGTCAGGATTGCTAACGTACAACTACTGGTACAAGTAAGAAGATGTTGTGGGGTGGTATAGATTAGGGTAAAGCGTTGCCTGTTTCTCTTTGAGAAAATAATCAGTTTTAAAGTTAGTGTGTAAAATATTGGCCACTACATGACAATAGATTACAGTCAACTGAGTTCTGCTTTCTTACCCCTCCCAGTTCAAGAGCATATGTTGGCTGCTGTAGGACAAAATATTTAAGTCAGTCAAGGAAGATCAAAACCATCAAATGTACCCATAATTGCTGTTGTGTTTCTGCTACTGTCTGGACAGCAGTTTTTCCCTATGTGTCAAAGTCCACTGTTGACTGTTTACCTCAGCTGTCAATGCTGTGTGAGAAGTGTCCACATCTCTTTGCTCTGAAAGAAGAAATAAAATTGCTCTCCCCCTGTTTAAATGTGTAGCATACATTTATTTTCTATCTCCATTTCAACTACTTTTTCTTGTAATGGTGTAAATGTGCATGTTTTTCATGGTTTAGAAAAATACATTAGCGACTGTCATTTATAACCTCTCACCGGTCTATGTGTGTGTCCAGTAGTTAAAGTACATGAAACGTCTTTTGAGCTCTCTGATGTGTGGCACTAAAATGTGAGAAAAAAAGCCCTCCTGTTCAGACTTTGTACTGAAAGCAGAAAAAGGCATTTTGTCACAAATGAGGGAGTTTGAGACTTCCCCTTAATTGCTGTGACATTTGTTTGGGCAGAAAGCTGAAGGTAAAAGTGTGTTTTATATGCAGGCAACACACCGTGGCATCACTCATTCCACAGCTTAGTGAAAACAAGGATCCTCACTCATATCATATCAGTTTCAGACAGCCAATCCACCAAGACACCTTTCATCTTTGCATATGACCCCAGCACAAACTATTATCAGTATTACACACAACATGAATGACTTTGTGAGCCACTACCACCTTGACAATCCAAGTGTGTGCATGAAAGCTTGAGCATGAAGAGATGGAGAGTGAAGTGATCCATAAAGAGTACTGCCATCCATCATCTCTCAGATGATAATCTGTGCCTGCTCTCCTTCCTTTGAATATACAGATCGTATGCATATAAATGCAAATAGGAGCAGGTCAGAAATGTGCTGTTGAGCATCGTGACTGCTGAATGTTAAATTTGCAAAATACACCTTAATATCTTACTTTACCTGAAACTGTAACATTTTATAATCATGATTATTTAATTAAACTGTGGTATTTTTTTACAGTTAAACAATGAGATTATAATAAAGGATAATTAACATGTGCATGTGACATTTTTTTTTAGCTAAGCTATAATACATATCATATTATTATGATATTGTCTTTTTTCGTGTGTTTTTCCCACTAACATCTTCGGTATGATCAGACGTAACCAAACTTGCCCATTCTTGGCCCTTGAAAGCGTATGATATCATCATGCTGTCAAGCAACTACATACGAATGTGCTAAAATGACCCATTTGTAGCTTTTATGCACCTATAGTAACCACCACAGTAATTTAGCCAATTTTAAACATACCGTATTTTCCGCATTATAAGGCGCACTTAAAATCCTTTAATTTTCTTAAATATTGACAGTGCGCTTTATAATCCGGTGCACCTTATGTATGAATTCTGGTTGTGCTTACTGACTTCGAACCGATTTTATGTAGTACACGGCGCTCAAAAATCTGTCAAAAAATGCTTTAGTACGACTTTGGTAAGCTACAAAGCCGCACCGTTTGATGGATTGTCGGAGCATTACGGCTACCATAGTCAGGAGCCTCGCGGAGTAATCTGGGTCCAAAACTCCGTCTGCTTCAGGTCCCAAAGTCAAACGAACAGTGCGGGATCACTGACAGTTA